TAAGACAGCCCGACAAGAATGGTGTGTTAAAAAGATATAAAGGAGAGTGTCTTTTGTAAGAAATCGGTTTCTTGTCTATGATGTTCCAATACAGAAACATGGACGTTTATGGCTCTCTTATAGTGCCGTTTCTGAACTTTGTTTTGTTAAGTTCCTAAAATCTTGGGTGATCGAGTAAATGAACTTCTTTTCTGGTTTTCTTTGATATTCGGTAGCTATTTAAAAATAATCTTTTATTTCAAATCATAAAGCGTGGAATATCAGCATGCCTTTAAAAGTGCAGCTGGACTAATACAGTGTACAATGTACTTCATACACATTGAAAAATATTGCACTACATCGATAACAGAAAATTTCTACTGATACACGAGAATCTCAAGGATAACACAGTTTTAAAAATAGACCAAAACAGCTATAAAATAAAATAAAATATGCTTTAAAGCATTAGACAGTTTTGAATTATAGAATCTCTTTTATATCTGTCTCTCAGACGATATTAAGAAAAACCTTATCCCAAAATACCTCAGACAAACGGAGGCGCTTTTTTTCCCCTAAAATGATTTCTCGTTTTGATAGCTCCACAGTTTTTTGCAATAAGTTGATCAGTTGACGTACATTAAATACAAGCAAATCGATGAGAGCAATTATTAGGCAATAAAAACACGAAAATACCCAGTTTCGAATTGAAGACTTACACCAAACGGGTTCTCACCACGCATTTCTCCTAGCTCCTCACGCGATAAGCTTTTGGAAATTAAAGCCCAACTTCTTAATACTTTATGTGATTTCATGTATCATATTAAGCATGTCTACGAGATAAAATGAGTTGATATAAAACTTATTTTTTGAAGATAAAATTTTGCGTGCACGTGCTGGCCCAAGAAGATAATCTGTGTTGATAATCAGAGAAATTGAAACATTGGCTTCTATAGAATTAATGGTAAGGACCGAGTGATTGAAATCTCGGTAGGCAAACGTCAATAGACTTAAGTATATAACTAATACTCCTAATAGATCTAATCGACGGAATGGGGAGAAAATAATTAAATTACGCGATTTTGTAGCAAATATTCTTCTAGAAACATTGAACGAAAAAAAGCAATAAAATGCGAAACTGAATTTCCGGGATATCATTCAATTGATTCCGGTATGAAAAATTAATCGAATGTAGTTCTTATTTATGGTGTGCTTGGATAAGGCTACAGAGAATTTATCCCAAGAGCGCATAAGAATGCTTGTAGAAATTGATGCACTATTATACTTATCAAATGCACATTCCTATGAAATTACATGTAGCTCACGAAAATTCAATATACGCCTGATCACTAAGCATCCTTTAACTCGGTTAAAAGCATTCAAGTTTCAAATATGACTATTACTTCTCATATTTTCAAATTTGCAAAATTTGGATAAAAATTGATACAAACTGAAGATTAAAAAAAACTTGATTATAGATGATTATATGGATACCCAATCAAGTCATCTTTTTCCGTGGGTATACTTAAATATATTTCCTAGTCTATCAGTTTGATTAGAATGTCTTCAAATTTGCATTGTTTTAAAATGAAATTTAGCTGGTTTATATTTCGCAAATGGTTGTTCTTAATTTGTTTTCGCAGACAGTTCGACTTCGGATATGCAAAAAACGTATTTACGTAACAGAAATACATGCACGGTGCATTAATCTTGCAAACTTTCTACAAACACGAATCTGGCAAAATTGACAAATGCCGTTAGCGAGTGCACAGACTTCATAATCGATCAGCTAAAAAATGAAATATTAATGTGAATCGGGAGTTTAATTGGTTTATATTTCACAATTGATAACACGAAAACATTACGAACCTTAATCACAAAATGTTAAGGCTCAATTTAATCATAGATTGCGCAGTGGAAAAAATCAATAGGACTATTGGGAAGGCATTTAAATCGTCAACGATGTAATGATAAAACAAGAGAAGTGAGAGTTAATTACAGTAAAATGCTAATTAAGTGTAGATACTGGTCCAGGAAATCGACATTTTTGCAACCTTTAGGCCTATCGAAGATATTAAGACTGGGGAGTTAAGCTCTACACTGTAACATAACATCTACATGATATTGTCTTTTTAAATGTCATGAAATATCGCCAAACCCAAATATGCTAACTTGAGCATCATTCTACCATTTGCAAAGCAGAAAAAATCTTGGTAATTTTTTTCTCTCTTCCACAGGAACTGTTTACATTAAGGGAATAGATGTACATGAACCTTGTCCCAAACAAAGTTGGGGGAGGGGGTTATTGTACAAACCTAATTTGTCCGCGGGGATTTTCACAAAAGGCTTGGACATTCTTAATGAAACTTCAAAGTAATAGTTACCAATAACAGTAGTTGTGCATGCAAAATTCAAATTGGCTCTCGTTGTCATGGAAAGGCGGGGGGGGGGGGGGGGGGTTCATGTCGGGTGACATACATGCTGACAATAGCAAAGTTTTTAGCTTTATTTACTTTTTGATCTCATCATTTTAATGATATAGCATTTCAACTTAAAATAAAATAACTTGATTCATAAAAGCATATAAATATGAAGTCCATTTTTTTTTCTAGTCATTTTTTCAATGTATATCCCCCTTTCCTTCTGAACTTAACAGAGGCAGTAATGCCAATTGTGCAAGAAATAGCTTGGTGCAACTAATTAAATCCTAATTTGTGCTTAAATGTTGAAGAAAAAAAAACTACTAACGAAATATTTTTTCCCGACTAATGTTATAGTTTAAAAAAATAAAAACGTCAGAGGAAGTATCAGTATTACTAATCAGGCTTTGCTGTACTTAAACAGAAGAATATTAAAGAATTTTTTTCCTATGTTTTCCACCGTCACGGCAGCTCATTCTGTAGAGCGCTTTACTCCGTGTTCGGAAGGTCGTGGGTTCGAGCCCCTGCTGCGACTGACCTAAGTCGATAAAGAAAAATAATAGCTAGCAACTGTTCCTTCGCCAAGTGCTCGGCACTTTGAATTGAAAGTTACGGGTCTTTCGGATGAGACCTTAAAAACCAAGCCCCCGTGTCACGGCAGGTGTAGGCACGATAAAGATCCCTCACTGCTCAATGGTCCTCAGTGCCGAGTAAAGATCTAAATTTGAAGCTCTTCACCGGTATATGGTGAAGTCTCTATATGAGTGAAAAATTCTCGACCGGGACGTAAAACAACCTACAATCAATCCATCCTATGTTTTCCAATGTAAACCTCTGATCTCTCATTTTTGCCCCACCTTACCCACCCTAAATTTTGAACAAATTTGAATCTACACTACCTGAGGATACCCTTTAATAATATGACTAATCATGGCTTTGCTGTTCTTGAGCAAAAGATTTTTTCAAGATGATTACAATATTTTCTTATGCAAAACTTTGACCCTCTGTTGTGCTCCCATGATTTCAACAAACTTGATTCTACAATGCCTAAGGTTGTTTCTGTATATATAAATATGACTAATAATGCATGGCTTAGTTGTTCTTGAGAAGAAGATTTTTAAAATATTTCCTCTGTAAAAGCATTTTACAATAGAAAAGGATTTACCAAGAAAAAGTTTCAAAAATGTAATTAACTAAGCAGTAATTAATCAACAAAGATTGCATTGAAGTCTATGGGGACAAGGCATTTTTAAAAAAAAAATTCAAATAATAAGAATATCAATAAATACTGTGGTGGAACGATGCATTAAAACACTATAAATAGAATGACAATTGAAAACTTTTTTTTACCAGATAATTTTTTTTAAATTGATTTTTTTATTAAAAACAGAGGGAGATAACTCTTACCAAAATTCAAGATCACAACTTAGGACACATCCCATCCGTACAATTTCTAATAAATAGGAATTATGTCTAAATATACTGAGTATTCAACACCTACACATCTGTATTAAATTTCATAGAATCTGTTGCTATTAGGGATGGTTACTATAACTTCTTTATTGCTGATTCAACATACGATTTCTTTAGCTAGCTTCTGAATGCCTGACTTTCCCAAAGCTTTGCCTTATATACCCTTTGGCTAGTCAATTCCAAGGGTTGTCAGGTCATTCCATTATTTGAGGTCTTCAATGCGTTCTACTCAAATGCCCCTTAACCATTACACCCATACATTTCTATGTAAAACTCTGACCCACTGTGTGACCCTGCCCTAAGCCTGCGGGTTATGTTTTGAACAAACTTTAGTCTACACTACCTGAGGATACTTCTATTATAATATGACTAATCATGGCTTTGCTGTTCTAGAGAAGAAGATTTTAAAAGATGTTTCCTATATATTCCTATGTAAAAATTCAATCCCCTCTTGCGGTCCCGGGTTCATGACATGAACAAACTTAAATCTAGAGTATGTAATGAAGCTTTCAGATAAGTTCCGTCTTTTCTTGCCCAATGATTCTTTAGAAGATTTTTAAATGATGTCACCAAATTTTCGTGAATTCTTAATTATCTCCCCTTAAAAGAGGAGTGGCACTTCCTGTGAGAAAACTTTAATTCCCTTCTCCAAATGATGCTTTGTGGCAAGTTTGGTTGAATTTGGCTTAGTGGTTCTTGAGAAGAAGTCGAAAATGTGAAAAGTTTACTGACTACAGATGACAGACGGACGCCGAAATTGTGAAATGTCTTAAAAAATGAATATACCAACATTCCTGCTGAAAAAATAGAATTCTAAGAAGAGATAAGTTTTTTTTACACTAGACACACAACAGGATATGCACCCAAGACTCCGAAACATAATAGTCTGAACAGCTTGTTTCATTTCAGTCATAAAACAAAATATGAATGATGGATATCAAATGTCTTTTGTTAAATACAAAACCCACTTTATTTGAGCCAGCAATGAAAACGTTTAAGAATATAATCATTCTACATTTCAACAAATATTTTCAGAAACAAATAAGACTTTTTTTCTGCTTATTGACAATAAAATAAAAATTAAAACACAAGCAAATCAAAGCATAAAATAAAAAGTATTTGAATGGTATTTGATTTCAAATCAGTTGTATAAGAACAAAAAATGATAAAGCAGTACAATTAGAGCACCTTTGCAGGTTTTTAATTGGCAGTAAAGCATATCAACATTAATTATATTTTGAAATATGACTGCAGTCAATGTAAATTTTTTGCAAGACCTTTTGCAAGGGGGGGGGGGGGGGTCACATAGAATGTAAAAACACAGCTTATAAGGTTCACTCGAGGTATCTAATTTTCTTAACTTGCCCTTCATGATACTCTCCCACGAATAGTTCATCACCTTTTGCAACACACAGGCAATAGGGTTCATTCAGAGATAAGTCTGTAATGAAGCATACCAACTGACCAATACGATCTAGGATATGTATACAGCTATTGTGCTGGTCGGCTATCAGGATATTACACTGACTATCCGTGGTTATGCCTTTAGGATAAAATGTAGGATACTTCCTCAACACTTGCTGCCCACAGTAGTGAAATTTGAAATTTCCCTTTCGGTCAACTACAGTGACGCGATTAAAATCGGCATCAGAGACACATACATCTCCATTCTTGTTTTCGGCTACAAAGTTCGGTGACCCATACAAAGGTCGGCCATAACTATCAAGACTGTATTCTCGTGTCTTTTTGGACCCTTGGTATCCGACAACACGAGCGCGTCTAGCGTCATCAGAACGCATGGCGACCAAAATATCGCCGGCGTCAGAGCAACACAGAGCCCAAGGTTTCCAACCGCTCAACTTTATCATGGGGTACGCCTGTCCATTCTGTAAATAAAATACGGCTCTTTCTTGCCAATCTGCGTAAATAATTTCCCCCGAATTTGTTATCGAGAAATCGTCAGGAGAATTTCCAGCGAGCGTCTCGATTTCGTCTTTGCAAGCATGCGCAGTCTGGTCGATGCTTTTGATGCATTTATCGTCCCCGCTGAAAAAGAGCTGATAATTCCTAACTCTGATCCGCCATAGGGGCTGACAATTAGTGAAAATGACGTCCTCCACGACCGGCTGCTGTAGAAAGGTCTTGAAGCAGAGTTGTTCAGACTCTTGCCCGTTGGTTTGCTGAGCTACCGACTGGTCCCGTATTTTATCCTTGCCAAAAATCCAAAACCCTGCCTGCTTTAAGATCTCCAAGATGTTCATATTCTTCCCTATTTATACGTTTAAAAAATGAAAATATTGATTAAAACAATGCATCATACGATAAGATTTTTAAAACAATTTAAAGGAGTTTTAAAGTGCTTTTACCTTTTTTCCCTGCTATAGTCCCGGACTTTCAGCGTCAACTGCTTGTTCTATTAAGTCTGGAAATGCGAAACATTTTAAACAAGTGTGACATTCTAGATTGTTGGTGTCTTTTTTCTTATACACACAATCCTGTTTCATTTTTCAAAATTAACTATAACATTGGTTGTTCCGGTGAGTTTAAAATTCTCTGAATTTAGAACTTTCGCATAACACATACCCCATCAAGTGTGACGCTACGGGATAGGCAGACGATTTTGGGAGAAAAAGTATTGAATATAGAACTTACAAGTCTGAAAATCTTTAATGTTCAGAAAGCAAATATCAACATGCATTGACATTTCAGAATTGTACTTTTTTAAGTGATGCAGAGAATTATTGTGAAAGATTTTCAATCCAATATAATCCAGTAATAAACAATAGTAACTGTAAATCAAAGAAAAAACCCTCTTAGCGAAGCGTGAACACATTAGGAACAAATCCAGTGAAAACAATGAGAATTTGAAGTCAGCTAGTAAACAAAACAAAAAAAAGGTAATGGATGAGGCAATTATTACATAATAGAAAAGATTTATTTCAGAAACTTGGGAACCCACGATAAGGGAGATTATACTGAAATATTCTGATATAAAGGTAACTGTTTTGTTGATGTTTAATTATTCTAGAGATTGAATTAATGATAGATGCATGTGCTAGACTGATTGTAATGATGTTACTGGCACAATATGAATGAGTAGATAGTCTGTCAAATTACTAGGAAAGAAATTTTTCAGTCAATTAATAGAATCCTCATAATTAAAAAAATAACACTTAGCATTTTAAATGAGCATACTATTTTATTTTTTTTAAATTTAAATTTTTATCAATTTATGAAAAATTATATTCAGTTATACCAGATACATGGTTTTCTTCTGTATACATCTGATGTTATAAATTGTCTGATTATTGGTATTAGAGCTCAGCAACATCCTGTCAAATAAAGACAATGTACATGTACACCTTAATACTAAGCAAAAAGTGCCAAATTTACTTCAAGAAATGGGCAGTCAGAAATAACAGTATTTAGAGTCTGCTTCAGGTCTTATATTGATATTTTTAAATTTAAACTGCAGTGCAACGGTTCCTTATTTATCATATGGCTACTAAACTGGAAGAGGTGAATTGCTATGGATCACTTTACATTCGGAGTGTTTTAAAGTATACGTATAAGGTGTTGAACTTTGCTGTCAGAAGATAGATTTTACTATCTGTAAGCCCTGTTTCATATAATCCACGGTGTGTTTCTATAGTACTTTAAATGTATCATGTTACTATGACGTAGGCAAATTAACATTCCATAAAACATTTAAAATAACTTTAAAATAAGTCATTTAAGTATTAAATGTAAATATTTTATTCGGTTGATTTGTTTCATGTATCTATTTCATTTTGATTAAAGTATCCAGTGGACACCCTTTTTATTTATCATCAGTGATTACTGAGTATTCTAATTTAGCACGGTGAGAAATTAGCCCAATTTCATGCCCCTTTACAGACAAAACTTTATTCATTCCGATGACCTAGTCATAGGTTTTGTATCGTTATGAATAGATCAAAAATATCTTTTCTTCTCTTTGCCTTGAAAAAATACATCTAAAATGCCCGAATTCTTTATAGCTTTAAAGACCAACAACAATTAAACAAAAGACATCGATATGAACATCTACGTTGACATTTTTCTCGTTCTCGCGAGAAATGAGACTTTGTCACGCCATCTTTGTTTTGTTCATAGCAGTCCTTGCATGTCTATTAAATCTACATTTCTTCGATGGAGAGTAGATTCAGCAATGAGGATTGTCCTGCCAAAAGCTTTGCGTGTTTCTAAATTGAAAAGGAGGAAATGTGCGACAAGTTAGAATATACTGCATATGTTTCAGAGAGAGAGAGAGAGAGAGAGAGAGAGAGAGAGAGAGAGAGGTTGATCATCTTGGGGCAAAAGAACGAGCGTTAATTTTTAGAGAATACGTCACAATACAAAAGTTGTTTCATTTCCCTTTTAATTTCCCTTTTAATTTTTTGTTTAAATTTACTTACTGAGTGATACAAATATTTATGAATAAATATTTCCGCTTTTGTAGTTTATCGTTATTTTTTACTACTAGACGTCTCGGTTATTACTTCAGTTAAAGCTTCTCATACGTCTAATGACTATGCAATACTGGGATGAGATTGGACGAAACTGCATGCTAAAATTGTGGTGGAAATCTTTGTAATTATGCAATACAGATTATATATGTGAAATACTTTAATAATTACTTGTATACATACACGTCATGGAACTGCAAATACGAATTACTAGATGTAATATTTGATTTACAGCAACAACAACCAAACAGAAGAAGAAGTAAGAAAGAAAAATTCTTAGAATCAAACTAACGACATCTTACGTTTATAAGATATTCCTAAGATACTTTCGTTTTACACCTTCAGACGAATCTTGAAGATAATCCTCAGATATGTCCCAAGGAATATATATCGTAAGACAAATCTTAAGACGTTTCTTAGGAAATTTCAATAAGCATGCCTGCAGGTTCTAATTTTTTTTCTTGAAAGAGGTTGTGTTTGGTTATTAATGATATCATCTCTTGATATATGATAGCAAATTTTAAAGCTCTGGGGTTCAAAATATTCAGCAAAACTTTTCTAGTTATAATTATTATATTAATAAAATATTAACATGCAACAGTATGGGAGGAAGTTCAGCAGTACCATGCAAAAACATATATTCTAGAATGAGGATAGCGCAAAACTTCAAAGAACGTTTAGAAAATTTGCACCAAATATTGCCAAAATCCATCAAAATGTATGACTTTTCAACACTTTGTACAACCATTCCCCAGGACTTATTAAAGATCGGACTTTAATTTTGACATCATTAGACAACTTTAACTGCTTTTCCAATAAAAATGAAACTCGCAAATTTTCATATCTTGTTATTCGTCTACAACCATTGTGATTGTTCTAACAAGTACCCCAAGGATGATCTTAAAAGGATGCTGGAATCCCATTGTCAAATCAACACTAGCAACTAAACTTTATGATAAACGCTGACTTCGCTTTTCTATCGCCAATTTTCTTAATAGTATGTAGCAATGTATCATAATCACCAGTATGTTAGATTTATGTCTCCAGCGGATTCGATACGCAAAAGCATATTCTACGTACAATTTCTTAAACAATTTAGCTAATGACTAATAAGTTTATGATAGAGGGGTATCAGCACTCTTGGGTAAAATAGACAAATTCTATGGTCGATACAGTGAAGTTTTTGCAAATACAGTCTGTCGTTATGTCGAATTTTGACTGACATCTTTCACTGGTTGTAAGGCCATTATTTCTGTACTGAATTGTCTATGGATTTCTACGTTTACCCGATCACGATAAGGGCCACTTGGCGGGTGCACAGAGGATGATTACTCCTCCTTGGCACCCGATCCCCATTCTGTATACTGATGTTTCGGAGGTATGTATTTGCTCGAACTTTATCGAGCAAATTATATTATTGTTCTTTATCTTCAGATTTCACCGGTGTTATGAAGCCGGATCGTTTCTGCTAACACCAAGTGTCTGATAACTAATGTTAAGCTTTTATTATTAAAGATGATAAGATAATTAACCTTGACTTTTCAGGTTTTGCGTTCAATGATAAGTATCTTCGGAGTAAGGAAAGACATTCAATAATTACTTAATTATTACGTCTAGTACTCCGAACACTTATAATTACATGCACCAATGGTTATTTCTTTGTTACCTACTCCACTGCAACTATCTAACTAACAACAACTGTATAAGGTCTTACAGCTTTTTATACCTCTGTTGCAAATGATCCAAAATTTTGATTGTTCTGCTTCAAGTTATTTTATTTTTGATTTGTTATGTCTCAAATTTCACACGTCCGAGGGAATGGACGACTGTTTCAATCCACTTCTTTATCATCTAATCTAGAGACTACACTTCAGTTTTTCCGTCGTCAACTTTCCTTATCTATGTAGTTATGTTTCAATATCATCTGCATATGGTGTTTATGTCTCCAAAATTATTTGATAATCAAGAGCCTCCTCTGAGTACGATCAACCTTTAACCCGAGGCATGCTGCTGACAAATAAGTTGATGTTCAGTGATTTCAACAAATCATATTTCTATAAATTCTATGGTCGTTATATAATGACCTTGTTAGCAAGTACAATCATTGGTCCGTATTTTAACTGAAATATTTCATTCCAATTGTAAAGCCTTTGTTTTATGCTCAGTTTGACGACTGATTATTCCGTCTACCTGATCAATACATAGAGATCACAGCGGATGCTTACTCCTCCTAGGCACCTGATCCTTCCCCTGGAAATTCCAGAGTTCGGCCGTGCTTTATCCTCTTTTTTGAGATCGATAATGTTAGTTATCTTCAGCTATATTTCTTTTCTTGAAAGTCAAAATCAAACAAATAATTAATTGGTAGGGATATATTATTCGTTTCATAATTCACATTCATCTGTGTTTTCCCCTTACACAAGTGAATATACGAAAAATATTTAAAAAAAATGTTTAAAAAAAAAACTTCCTAGTTTGTTATTCATGTTTTAATTATACCTTCCAATATCATCTTTCAAAAGAAGATATATGATATTTGTATATGTAACATATGTGTGCAAGTTTCCCTTTAGAATTAAGGGCAGAATCCATCGCGCTTTTATATTTATGCAGATTCCGGAAACAAGCACCCGTTTCCTGCCATTCACGTTTCACACCAATTCGTTACACAAAAATGAACTCAAGCATGTAACCGCCATCCTGTATTTCACAGACAAAAAAAAATTGGGAAAAAATAAATTTCTTAACAAGACATTCACGTAAAACTTAAAAAAAAAATCGGCATCTGCAGTTACAGTATTTTTCAGTTTATAATTACAGTGTATGCTACACTTAAAGATCTCTTTAAAGAAAATTTATTATTCAAATTTAGCAACAAAAAAAATCAAGAGAGTGATTGATATGGAACAAAGATTAAGATGTGTCAAAATGAAAGAAAATTGAACCATGGGTTGTAGATATTTTGGAGATTCAAAAAATTACAATGCC